TAGATGCCACTTCAAAGCCCCACAGCTGAAAGTGTATGCAGAAAGGGGACAGAATAACTCTTACTAGGTCAGAGAAAAACTAAAGGTCAGAATTCTCTTGAGTGTCTCTTGGAAGACCAAAACTAAAAATTGGAGAATATCCAGAATCTCAAATTCCTCTTTGAATAAGAGAATGGGTTTTTAAGACGCTTTGAGGTTTGTAGACGCTGAACGTCACTAAGTATTCTCTTTTGAGAGAGTGGCTAAGGAGGGAGCGAAACTGCCTTTTGAGGGAAACTGTTATTACGATTATTGTTATTTATATTGGGCTAAAAATACAATAGGGATCCATGGGACAAGTAAGATTTACTTAAGTAATAAGGGCTACAGGTCAAGACTACACACAGTATGGTAAATTCACATGCTTTCTGACAGGTACCTTTGAAGTCAGTGGAAGCTTTGTTGTTGACTGCAGTAGAGGAAGAATTTTGACTGAGGATTTTTTGAGTCTACTGGAGCAGGATGTCAGAGCTGAGCCTGCCTCACCTCAGCTTTTCTCAGCAAGCAAGGATTGATAACTGATTACACTCTCAGTCAGGGCTGACTTGTTTGCATAATCAGTATCGATATGCACATATATGGAGATAGAGAAAATGTTATTTCCATATCATCATAGTTTAATATTATAAACAGTGTTGCCATTAATATTGAAAGATTACATAAATGCATATGTTTGTATACACACACACATATATATGATATATATATGCACACACACACACACATACACATACATATACCTGTGGCAGAAAGGTTTTGTGGTAATAAGATCAGCTGGTCACTCAGCTGAAGGATGTGCACACAACAATGGTACAGCTGACAGTGTATATCATATATTTGTTCCAGGATAGTACTTGTCCTCTGCTCCTGAGAGGGAAATAGGTAGTAATTTGTAAGAGCAGAGATTGCAAGAACAAAGGTCAGCAGGATTAGAGGTACAGAGGTGCGCTGATAGGAGAATCAAGCAAATGGTGTATTGTGACAAGTTCTACTAGAAGAAGAAGGGAGAGAAGAGAGTTAGGTCTGGAAGCGGAAGAGAAGAAATTTAAACTCTTTCATATGAAGGAGAAAGACCTAGCAGAACTCATCACAGAGGTGATGAGAGGAGGGAGCAAGTGGGACAATGTAGTTATGCTACCAGCCCAGAAATACAATGACTAAAATTAGATCTTCAATGATCTGATCACTGAGCGAGAGGTAGTCGTTATAATCAAGATAAGAAATGATCAGGAATATATGTTCTAACTGCTTCCGCTTTGGGCTGCTTTGCTATAATGAAAACTTTCTTATAATTACTCCTTCGGGTGACTGAGTGCTTCCTGCTGCTCTCCTGTGTGCTTTCCCAAGTACAAAAACCTCAGCATCTAGACAGCATCCAAGAGGATGGAGCAACCTGTGCTATCAGTAAAGAAATGGGGAATACACAGGGACGTAGAGAAATTCCAAGCAGAAGAGAGGGAGGAAGAGTTTGTAGAGCGGGCGGAAGATAGAAGGGTCAAAAAAAAAAAAAAACGAACGGGTGACTACAGGTAGAAGAAAGAGATAGAAGCAGCCAAAGCTGAGGTGATGGATAGAATTGCATGCCAGAAGTTAATGAGCATGGGCAAACAGCCTTGTGAGCACCAAACCACAGCCCCCTCCCTGTACTGAACTCGGGAGACCAAACTATTTCTGAGGTGACAAATAGTGATACCAGTTCCAGGTGGTGGTTCAGATAAATGATCACTGTTCTTACAGTTATTTGTACCGTGAGCTCAGCAACAGATGGCCTACACTCATGGGTTCGGTCCTGCTGATGAGACATTTTGAACCATAAATAAGCAATTCAGCTACAATTCCTATGGTGTTCAGGGTTTCTTTTGAATTATCATAACTTTAATGTGGGAAACTGCACCTGAAAAAGTACTTCAAACTTGACATGTGTCAATATGTTTGTTAATTTGACCTCAATCTCTCTATGCCGTAAACTGCCCATCCATAGAGTGATGATAACACTTTTGCATCTCACGTGGATATCGAGGAGACCATGCTGTCTTTGGAGCATTCAGATCTCTGGAGTGACAGTGCTGCTAGTCGGGAAAATTAATAATTTTCTGTTCAGGGTAAGGTTTGGGTTGTGTCCTGCAAATGAGATCTGGGCCACAGATTGAAAGGTGAGGTTAAAAATTTAGGCAAAGAAACCGTTCATTAAACATGATGTCGGTATCCTAAATGAGGCAGGGGTACCAAAGGAGAAATACGTAAGAACAAGCAAATAAAAGCTGTACCATCTGCACAGTCAGAGACTGAATGAAGATTGCACAGTCAACCTTCATTCGAGCATTTCCTAACTTCTGAAAGTTTGTCTTTGTAACATGAACATTATTTTAAAAGAGTTTATTGAGCATGACAGTAGTCTAATGTGAATGGCTCAAGTGAATAGTTTGGGGCCCTTAAAGCTCTGCGCGATTGAGCTGTGATAACCAAAGTACTAGACTGTGCAGTGAAATGTATTATACAGTCCAATGTCTACAATGCACAATAAGTTATAGTGATGAGTCCACCTTGGCTATATAGCATCCAGTACAGGTTCATAATTAGTCTGCTCTCTCATTGCGCTTATAAAGGTACATACTTTTGGTCACTTTCATTTAAATTAAAATGCAATCATTTTGTTTGTAAGAATTATGATATTCATAGTGAGCATTAACATAATTTCTGGTGTTCTTTCCATGAATCAAATAACATTTGTTAAAACTATCTGTACAAGCTGCACTAGCTGAGCTTAATCAGTTTCAATAAAAACAAAGCATTTGAGATGATTAAGGATTGGGGCTTAAGCCTCTTATCTGTTCATAAATTTTCTAGTCTGCAAAATGTGGATAGTTATGTGAAAGGGATGTTATGAAGCCTGTGTAACGTTAATAAAATGCTTCGAGGTCTTCCAGTGAAAGTGTAAGGAGTTAATGTCTTTTAATACCAAAGGACATTTTTCATTACTCTTCATTTTTTATTTCAATCTAGCTGTTAATTCAGTGTTGTAGAACTGAAAAAAAAGTATCATCCTGAGAAACAGGAGAGAGAGTGAAACAGAGAGGGGGTCTGATTAGATGTTATTGAACTTGACGAAGAGAACTAGAGAATCACTATTTTCAAGTGATATTGGATTAAGTCCCATAAAGAAATATATGAGAGGTCGTTTCATTTTACTCCCCCAAGAAAGCAAATGCAAAATGGAAGCAGAGGGCAAAAACAGTAAGAAGTAAACTATACTCTTGTATTGCCAGCAACAAAACAGGTATAAAGTGTGTCTCTAGCGTTCATCTTCGGGGTCTATGTGAAAGGCGATTTCACCCCGCTCATAAATAAACCCACTTTCCAGAATGATTAAGACCCCAGCCCTCCAGCAGCGCCTGTCCGCGTGGCCCTCTGACTTCACTGCACACCATTCTATTGAACAGAAGTCTTTGTAGGAGTTAGCGTTCACCACGAAACTCTTTGCAAGAATAGGGCACACCACTTTGTCTTGTTTTCCATGCCGATAACTTGTGTGACACCCAGTTTGAAGGTATATACCTTAAAAATTAACGGAGAAAAATTCCAAGAGCTACTATGTGATTTAGGATTGGGACCCAAGGCAGTATAAACTTACCTGAATACTGTGAGCAGTAATTCTGACAGCCGTCTGAATTCAGCCAGTGTCTGTTTGTGAGTCAGCAGCCAGTTACTTGCTGCTGGCACAGATATTTGTCAATTGTTACACATTAAGGATAAATTTCTCCAAAGTGTCATACTGCCTTGGTCTATGTCTTCACAGTAGCAGTCAGTTCACCATGTGAGTGTTAGCTCAAAATAGCGTAGCTCAAGTGAGACTGACAACACTTCTCGCAGCATTCAATCTGCATACAGCAATTAGACTTGCACTAAAGAGCAATTGGATTACCAAAGTGTTTGAATTAGTCAGTGAGATAACTAACTGTATCCCGTAGCATTAATAGTGCGAAGTCCAGCACTGCTGAAGCTTTGCCCCACGCTCTCAGCTTGACCTCCAAACATCACTTGGGTTTGGGTGTTTGCAGGTAGAATCAAGATGGGAGTTTAACTTTGGCTAAGAATGCAATGAAGACAGGATTTTGCAACAGTGATGTTCATATTTTTGGACCATGCGCAATGAATCCATAAACCATTACACTGGCTTGGGCTTTTGGGGGTGGGGTGAAGTGGGAACTTGCTCTATTTTGCCATCTCTAAATGCTTTTTCCTGTAAAACTCTTTAACATTTTTTCCCAGGGGAAATAAACATATTAATTAAGATGTTTCATGCCACAGTCTTTGTGTGTGTGTGTGTGTGTGTGTGTGTTGTATGCTGCTTTGTTTTTTTTAAACCTAAAAACAGGATGCTGCATTATTTTCCATGACAGCCAACCGGTCTGGATGAGGATGTCATTCCCCTTTATAAACAGAACTTACTAACTTCTGTTCAAGGTTATTTTTTCCTTTAAAATAGTTTGCACGTCACAAAGGCTACTCTGTGAGAGCTTTATGACTTGACTGAGGATATTGCTTGCTCTGAGCAGGATTTGTCTCTCCCAACTCAAAACATCTACAAAGTAGATGGAGATATCTCCAGGTGAGCTAGTCACCTTAGTCAGTGGGAAGGAAGAGGTGCTTTTATGTATTCAATGTTTATGCTAGGATGAATTAAATTACACCCTGGAAGTGCCTTTTCCCACTGACTGCAAATGGAGCCTTAATGGAGCCTAGCTCATCTGAGGGCATCAGATCAGATGAATTCTACCTTCTGTGCCTGAAATCATAGGAGAATATTTCAAGAGTGTAAGAGAAAAGCCCAGACCACTTCTCTTGCAAAATCAGAGGAAACAAGATTTCACAGGGTTTTTTTTTTTTAATCTTTTTCTACATTTTCCACAAGTGTCCTCAGTACCAGAATAAATCAGTTCTTAACTGTGCTTTTTCTTTAGTGTTGGAAAGGAAGATTTCGACAAGACAAAGCAGAGAGGAGCTGATAAGAAGGGGAGTTCTGAAGGAGATACCTGAGCAAGGTGATAACAAATTACCTTGAATTTACCTGTTGAGCACTAAACATGGATGATAAAGCCCCGATTGTATTGTTTCCGTGTAGCGTAAATAGGTATAAGGACACAGCTTGGAGGTGTGAGAGGTAATTTGAGCCAATTGACGAGGTGGAGATGAGATTTGTGTTCTGTTCCTGCTTCTGATATATATATATACACTATGTGACTTTTGGTCGCGTTGCTAAATATTTTTGATGCTCCCTGGAGAGTGCGAGTCCTGTGGTTGTTACTTATGGTTTGTCAGAAATTTTTGGAATTTGTCTTTAACCTGTTTTTTTGAGTCAAGGTCTGCTGTCCAAAGGAAATGGAAGATGACAGGGGAAATTTTGGCTGAAAAATTAAAGGGCTTGAGGCCCTGCCATCACCCTGTATGTTTCACTGCTGTAAACCAAAGGAAGTAAATCAATAGCTGCAGTTTCAGATATCAAAAAGTACCGGTGTTGGGACTGATTATACAGATCCAACCACTGTCACACAGACCACATTCACAAGTAACTCAAACATAAAAGTCTGTGGGGAAGACGCCACTTATTTCAAAACACTTACAAGGTTTAAGAACTGACAGCCAGAATTATTTGTATTTGAAAAACCTAAGTAAACCATATTTAACACCTGTTTGGTACATCTGACTGTATTTCTGAAATACTGCTACTTGTTTTTTATTCCTTGTGGGCCTAGTGGCATTGTTTCTAGTGTTCTTGATCTTGTATAAATCTAGATTCAATAAAAATCAAGTAGTTAAAATAATTCTCTATAGCCTAAAATTAAGCCATTCATCATTCTATCAAGAAGTCTAATAAGATTTTGCCAGTAAAGGGAACTGACTGAGAACTTAGTGATTTCCAAAAACAGATTTCTCCTAGAAATTGTGTTACTCTGCCTGACCTGAAGAATTATGAAAGTGAACTCATGGATAGCTCAGTATTTAACATTCCTCATATGCACTGATATTTAGAAATAGAGGGCTTATTTGTTGACATGTGACGTCACTGGTCTTTACAGTATTTCTCTTATTATAAAACTATGGCATTCAGCATAGCTGGCTTCTGAACTTGCCTCTGCCATTGTCTTTGATTTAAAACAAGAAATGTAAGCTCTCCATACCTCAGTTTATCCATCTGTGAATTTCTTACATTTTTTGCTACGTGCTTCGCTGCAGAGCTGTATGACTTTGTTGACTGATGGTTATAAGTTGCATTTACACTCTTGAGACAGCTAACACAATGTATTAACATTTCAGGTGGGTTAAAACCGGTCTGACAATAAATACTGAAAATAATACATTTGTGTTAAAGATATGTATGCTTTGGTCTTTAGTATCGTTGACCCTCCACTTTGAATCCGTTACAGAAACTTGTAATCCCGTTGGCTCAGAACAAAGGGGGGAAAGGATGTAGAGCGGAATAGTTTTCTCCCCTTCCTCCCCTCTTAAGAAGGCCATCAGTCCAGTCTGTATTGCCTACATTACATGTGCTTCGTGTGTGGTGAATATTTTAAGTTTCAAGGAGCTGTTTGAACGAATACAGGGTTGATTTGAAGGTGCTAAAACAGGAGGGTAAGTGATATAGGAAAAGAAGGTGTGGAAGGTCGTTAGAAAAATGACCATGGAGACAAAAGCTCGATGATGAAATTATATAAAGTCTTGAAATGTGAGAGGCAAGAAATGTGAAGACGTGACAGTATTTTATGTGGAATGAAGAAGAGAGAAGTGGAAAGTGGCAAGTCCAGAGAGGAGATGTTTGTCAAGCCACGACATGAATAAGAGATGAGAAAGTTACCTGTGAGGCATAAAGGAAAGAATGGATTTGTGAATGTCTGGAAGAAGAAAGTTGAAGAAGTTGTATGTTGCAATAAGATAAGAACGAAGCCTGTGCGACCATCAGCTGTAGTTGGTGAGGAAGGGTTGAGAAGGCAGAACTTAGTTTTTGCACATTGACTTGAAGTTAGTGTTTGGATTAAACTGATCAGGTTAACCCATAGAGTAGCTCAAGGTGGTAAAAAAGGCTACGTAGCTGTACGGATATGGGGAAGTGGCCGAACATCCAGGGCTGATAGCGCACAGCAAGGGAGAAGATGAGAAGAAGAGAGAGGAGTTTATCACGGTTAAAGAAGCAACGAGCGGAGGAAGCAGAGGAGACTCAAGATAAAGTTGTATTGTTTTTGGATGAAAGGTGAGAGAATCTAGTAGGAGGAAAGCAGTCATCTATGTGAGTTGCAGGTGGAGTGCAAGCAAGGTAAGGCAACAGGTTTTAGCAATAACCCGAGAAGAAAATTATCAGTGATCTTAGAATGTGTGGAATAGAGAACAGAACAAGTGAAATAAGGGAAGAGAGGAAACTGAGCCAGCAAGAGTGTGTAGCATTTTTCAAGAGTATAGAGACAAATAAGAAGGATAAAAGAGTTTTCTTCAGGAGAAAAGAAATATAGCTGAGGTCATCTGGGTAAGTGAAAAAAATATCAGTTCTAGGAAAGAATTTGGAATGCAAACTTCAAATAATGGTATCATGTGTGAAACAGGAAGACCTTACGTTGTTTCTCACAACTGGGTAATGACTCTGTGACCCATTTTATTCATTAACTGGCCACATATATTTTGAGAAATCCTGCCTGAATTCCTGGCTGATATATCTACTGGGGTACATCACAGTAGTCCTGCAATTCTGTCCCTAATAGTCCAGAGTTGAGGCCTACTGGAACAAGCTGCAGCTCCATTTTGGTCTGTGCACATGTTTCTTTGCTCTGTAAACCAAGATGCAGGGAGGAAGAGAATGGGATGCTAACGTGCATAGAGTTCACGTCCCCAGATGGATTCACAAAAGCTGGACCTGAAAACTCACATGCACTTCCAAGCCCGCTACAGAGATATCCACCCAAAGAACCTGGAAGCCTATAGAGTTCCCTTACAGAATTACTTTTCAGAGCAGATCTACAGCCTGATCTTTTCCATTTCAGTAAGTCCTTCTGCTTTGTTTCCGTGGAAATTTAAAAGCAGATAGATGTTGTATGTTTCAGTAGGTGCTGTGCAAGCAGTTAAATTAGACAACAGCTTTTTGATTTTCATTTCAGATGGCGATGTAACAGTAAATTTTGAAACTTCAAATGGACACACCATAGCCATTGGTGAAGAAACCATACAGGAAGAAAACATTGTAAAAGCCAGTGGAGATAATGGTACTTTGTCAGAGAAAGACTTTGCATCGGAAGGAAAAGAAGAACATCCAAAAGGTAAACAAACACATTCTTCGCAACTTCTTTTCCACCTACTTAAAACATTAACATGTTCCTCCGTTAGCACCGATGCAGGCTGTGAATTCTGTTCTGCAGCAAGGCTGCCAGCAGAACCTGCCGAGAAGATACACTTGTGAAGCATGAGGTATTTCATCACTGGTAGGCATGCGTTTTACTGTGACTATAGAAAGGTCCTAAAGAGAAACATGGTCTTAGCATGAAAGTGTGTGCAGGGCTGTTTGGTTTCTAAATTCACGGTGAGCCTTTCCTTGTAACCATGAGCAAGCCTTGTTTCCAGGTTTTCCTTTTGTGAAATAAGACCATAAATGTAAATGCGTAGAAGACCGTAAATGTAAATGCATCACCTTCCAGTATCATTGCAGAAGTAGCTCAAGGGTTAAATGTGCAAAAGTGTTTAAACCACTTAAAAAACGTGTATAATTTTGAAAGTGACTTCAGCAGCTCATTCCCATTGATTTTCATTAAATCTTGATCAGCTGCAGTCCAGCTCTTCAGAAAAGTTCAAGAGGCAGGCTACTACTGCAAGCTGAACCTAGGTCATTTATAGAAAATGTACTTTATGACTGTGAGGTTTTCTGTAGCTGAAATGTAATAAATATTTAGTGGTATTTACTACATCTCAAATCCCAAAGTCCATATTAATTCTATTACCTTTATTCAGGTCCACGTTGGTAATAGGAGCTTGAATAACAAAAAGTAAAGACTAAGGTGGAATCACAGATTTGGGCCTGTTTTGTTTTCTTTCTCTAGCGTCTTGAATAATGCGTCCCTTCTTTTCCACTGTCAATAAAAAAGTTCTTAAATACGATTCCACTTATTGGATTTTCCTAGAGGAAAGTACAAGGGTACAGAAGTTCAAGTGCTTTATGACTGGCTGTTAGACTGAACAGTCTTTCCAGTATATTCTAGTAACCTCTACCTAGTGATGAATGAGCCTCTGGCGATTGAGAGGCCCCGGTCAGCTAACTCAAAAATTTGAATTCTTCTCTGAGCTATGTAAATTGCTTGAGTATGTAAAAAGTAGCTAGGAGTCTAAGAAGAACTGCCTTTCTTGTGAGATTTCTAGTACTTCCTGTCTCCCAACAAGCCAGAAATACAAGATTAGCCTTTTTCATGACATTTAAATATGTCTTATCATTTGGTGCCAACTAGAATCAGACATGTATTGGGTCAGGAGAAAAAGAGTAATAAAAGCCGTGGAAAATTCCTGTAAAATGGTTCAGGGTAACTTTCGGATAGAAGATCAAATCAGTTATTATTTTATGCCTTTCCCTAAAGGAAAGGCACGACCTTCTACAACTGTCAGGTCTTGGGGGTTTTCCTAAGGAACCAGTTCTTTAGAAATATATATTGCCCACTGTGTTGGAATCCCATCTAGCTGACTCTGCAGAATGTAGAAATCTAATGAAAAGGAGAACATTCAGTATCTATTTCAAAAGCATTATTATCTTCTGCACTCCCTATATATTGTGTTGTCCTTACAGAGAGAAATTCAAAATTACTGCTGTACAGGAGTAGACTGAGTACAGAAGAATGTGTAACTGTCAAACTGCCGTCACTCAGCTCGCTCTCAGAAAATGAAATGTATATGGAGGAGAGAGGAAAAAAACAGGAAACGTGGGTTCTTGGTATTCTAGGCGTCATAAAACGTCGGTATGGCCATATTTAATAGGTAAAGCACTTTGAATATAGCTTTCCTCTTACATCTAAACATTAAGTTGTTCCAGATGTAAATATTTTGAGTTGCCTGAAAAAGATCAAGACTTATTCCAGAATAGGAGTCTACCTACAGAGGTGTTAAGGCATGATTCCATATATCAGCAGCCCTTTCACCCAGTGCAAATCCAGCATAACTCACTGCATGTTCTTTGTGAATTCACTTCAGTTACTGTTTACTTTATACGACATTAAGGGAGGTGAGCTGCTCTGTTGAACTTAGTTCTTAGAACTTAGAAGGGTAAGGTCCACCACATCACACAGATGCACCTCACTTACCAGATTAATCCTTAGTGCTCTTTTACAGCAGGTGCAGTAGGTATGCATTGCACCCATTGGCAGATCGAGAAACTAACCACCAAAGAGTGGTTAGCTAATCCTCACAGAGCATCAAAATCAGAGCTGAAACAGGAACGCAGGAGTACCTGGTTCACTGTGTTCTGCTCAGACCATAAAGCATGCTGGTGTCTCAGATCACAGCCTCTGTCTGTCATGAGAATTGAGGTAGGTGAGATGAGTCAGGACCATCAGGAGTAATGGATTCGGGGAGTTCATCTTTATGGAGGCTAATGTTAGGCTTCGTAGAGTCATCAACTGTTATGTGTAAATCTTAAAGGTAGCTCTATCTACCTTGCATGTTTGTAAGGCCTAAAGACATTAAACTTTTAACGAATAGTGGTGGTCTTAACCTGCTGTCTTGTTGAAGTGGGTCTTAAAATATAAACATGTTGATGACTGCTGGAGTTGGAAGTTCAGAAAGAGCAAGTATTACAAGCATCGTGATAAAATAGTGAGAATTGGTAGCAATGAGTAATGGAATGTGCACAATGTTAGGAGTTAAAAGAAGTTAGAAGAGGAAAGTTGTTACAGCGTCATCCAGAGAGATACAGAACCAACAAGAAAAACAATAGGCTCAACCGTACAATGTAAAAATGAGTTAAGCAAAAGTGAGTGAAGAAAAAGAGCCCTGAAAGCTGTCCCCTGTGCTGCCAGACAGTTCTTTAAACTTTATACCCCATCTGCTGCTTGTCAGCTTACAGATGCTTTTCATATTTTGCGAAAAATTCCCTTTGGTAATTTAATAGCGTCACTGTTGCTGTTTGCCACAGTGGTGAGATGTCAGTCATCCAAGCGGGGTGTTTAAAAGGAAATTTCTCCTTTATGGTGGGGTAATAAAAGGCTGGTGACAGTTTTACATAAAACAGGTAATTGACTGATGAAGCTTTGCAGATGAGAAAGCATAGGCTGAATCTTGTTTCTAGATCACATTATGTGTGTGCTTGGTTGAGTTCTGAATTTTTATTTTATTTCTTTTTTCTTTTTTGGCTAAGAAAAGTTGCTAGCATCTCTTCCAGAATATGAAGAGCTAAACTGTAGCCGTTCTCTGTAAGTAGACTGGAAGGAGCACAGAGCACTGAGTAGACTGGCAGTTTATTGAAGCACTCTTGTTCTCGGGAGAGCAGACTGGAAGGTGGAGTTGTAACTGGGCTCCGCATCCATTGAAGGTGTGTGCGGTAGCCACTGCTGACTGCAGCCTTCCGGAGTCCTGCCTGATAGGAAATGAACGTGGTAAAGGGCATCCAAGGAGTCTTCCTACCTCCTGCTCCCCAAAACAGTGTTGGAGAAGAGCAAAAGTCGTATGAGTAGAAAAGGTGTTAAAATAGTAGCTGTTTCGCTCCCTAGATGATTTCTCTCCCTGAAAACAGGCTTCCTGCACAACATAAAACCTTCTGGCACTGTGTCAGAGCCTTTTTTTCTCCTTTCCACCTTCCCAAGATGTCTCTGGCCTACAGACATACTTGAGCACCCTGAGTTTGTTCTGAATTCAGTTTGCAAAGCTAGGTCTTACTCATTTTTATCATAACAAGCTAAATCTTCTCGTGGTAGAGAATTTCACATTTTATTATTAGCTTGAGCTGGAAGAAATGAAAGGCTCAATAACCATTAGCAAGGCGTTGCCTGGAAAGAAGTAATAAGTTTCATTTTGCATACCAGCTGCTAGCCGTGTTTGATGTTGGTCTGATAAATAATTGCATTGCTAGAAGCCAGAGCTGTGTTCTGGGTGCTGTGAAAGGGAGCGCAAGCTGCTGAAATGTTCCTATGCCATTCATAACAGAGTGGTCCTCTCAGGCTTTCTCTTGTCCTTCGTTGAAGGAAAGAATTTGTAGTCCTGTGTCTAGATGAATTCTTAGGATCCGTAGGTGTGTTATTTTTCGCCTACAAGATAACTCTAGTATGACAGCTGGCAAAGGGTCCTGGTCTTAGTATGTTGGGTTTGGAGGTTCTTTTGCCCGTACTTTTTCCCTTAAATCTGCTTTTAATTTTAATCTTTTATTTTTCTTACGAGTAGTTGAAAAAAGAGGGCTGGAGGCATGGGCTTTAGTCTTAGAAGCAGGCATGGTTGTTGACTAATGCTCTGGTTTGTGTACAAAGGAATGCTCTTAAACTTGAAGTTTCTAGGTTCCTTTTCACGGAAGTCTTTGTTTTGTTTCCCCAAAACAGAAACCCTCATCTTCAGGGTCTCATATAGAAGCCTGCTTAATCTCAGAAGACTAATTCTGCAAACCACTCACTGTGAGAGACAAGGCAGACTTAATTCCCTCTCGTCTGTCTAGCTGGCTTCCTATACTCCTGGGCTCTGTGGATCATCGACATTAGTATCGTACAGAAGAACTTGATTTTCGTATGACTCTCAAAGAATCTTATTGTAGGTCTCGCTCCAGCTGAATTGCTTGCTGGCTAAAGCCGTTTTTTTCTAAGAACAGTTTATCTTCTAGTCATCACCTGAACTAAATGAGGCTGAATCTAAATCTTCTTAAAAGGAAAGCTACACTCAATAGGGCTCTTTCTGGGCAGAACCCATTCGCTAAGTCGGCCAGGCTAGCTGAGGCCAGTAGGCTGATGTGAGAGGCAGTAGCTTTCACCCACAGAAGCTGAGTGGCAGAGTAAACTCCCAGTTTGTGAAGCTGTTTTTTTTTTCTTTTATAGAAAAAATATCCTAATGTGGCTCCAGAAATAAGATTGTAGACAGGAATTTAACAGACTAACTATTGAATTGTTTGAGCATATCTATACAGGAAATTTAAGGGAATGTAGAAACCTACATGCCCTGTCACTTTCCGCATCTTCCATAGACGAAGATATGGTAAAAGTATGCAGCTGATCATGGAGATATTTGAGATATTCTACCTTGTGTTAATAGTTGAGTTTTTATGCAACAGTTTGGCAGTTAGCAATGTAAAATGACGGTCAGTATCTTT